CCCTCTATTTTAGTATATAAGCCCGGCAAATAAAGCGAAGGTAATAATTGCAGATAGATGGAGATATAGACAGATAACTGAGTCAAGTGAGCGGTAGTGGCTGTTAGTAAAGTGCGTGAATCGTTGTGAATTATAGCGTGTGTTTAAGTTAAAGTGACTGTGGAAATTCTGTGTATTATAAAGTTGTATCGAGAAAAAATAAAGTAGTTTTAATTAAGAAAGGACTTGTGTCGCTGAAGTTTCTTGGAAAGAATTTTTATGGGAAATTAACAAACGACCAGAGACGCAACAGGTTAAATATCCTTAACCCTTTCTGGGCTGGTGAACACTTTTCAGGTGTCAGTGCACACCAAGTTATCAAATTTCAAAAGATAAGTAAAAATAATAAAATATAGCTCTATTTCAAAATTGTTCTAGAACTGACATTTTGTAGCAATTATTTCATGTAATTTCGAAATAATTTTTTTAAAAGTTCAAACATATATTTATTCATTAATTGTACTTAAAGTTTGTATATTAATGAAGATTAACTCTCTCTATATAGGCTCAGTCATTTTGATCAACCTTGCAACCACCAGGTAACTATGGAAGTATACATATTATAACGTTTAGTGTAGTAAGTGTATCTTCACGAAATTTGGCAAGCTGTTAGTAAGCATTACAAGTTTCTTTGTACACAGAAAACTATATTTTTAAATTAAGTCCTTTTTCTAAGGATGTGTCTATGAATATATGGAGTCAATAAGTGACTCAGACTATGACTAGTCTTAAGTGAAAGGTGATCACGTTATAATTAAAAATAATTTTTTTCATCTTACAGTTTTCAAATTTCATTTGCATAACCTAAATGAATATCAAATATTTTTTCAATAAACTTTGTAACAGTTTACACCTGTTTTTATCGAATTTCATTGTCATATTGTTCTTTTAACCATGTCTAACTGGCAATCCTGCAATAAAAACTATAGATCAAATGACGAACATGTAGCTCAAGATACAGTACTGAATGACATAATGCATGAGCTACTCACAAGCAAATCTCATGAAGAAAATTTGAAATTATTATTATCTAACCTAATAAAGTTCTAATTTTTACATTTTAGTTACTTTTATAACAATAAATAAAAAATGTACACGAAAAATAAGAAATTTAATACTTATGCATGGCCTTTTAAAAATTTGCTGCCAGTCCTCTGATGAAACATAACCTTAGTTCCTTGTAATGATATTAGCAGTAACTAAAATAAATTTTATTTATTTTAAATATGCACTTACGAACACAAAATAAACAAGCCCAAAGCAAATAGTCTTATAACTATTATAATTCAATTGGGTTTCTGTTTGAATTGAACTTGGCAATAGCAAATAAAAATCTGTAAGCAAAATAGCTAAAAATCTCTACTGAGAATAAACAAGGTAGCATTATACAAACAAAGAATATTGAAAGCTATAAAAATTAGGCTATTCTTAGTATTAACTATACTATAGCGAGTAATTTAAACTTAAGAGATATGACAAAAATAGAAAATGGGCAAGTCAGAGCAAACAAATGTCACATTACACAGACAAGATGAGAATTAATTTTAATATTTCCTTTTGTAATTGAGACATTAAAACTTATGTAATACTAAAATTTGATTTACTGGTTATTTTTATGATGCCAAGTTTATATAGATAAATAGTAAAGAAGTTTAATTAAATTTTGAATGTAACTATAAATAGTTGTGACATGCACACTTTTACCTACCCATATAAAGAAGATTAACTTTTTAAGTCACCAACTGTCAAATAAAGCAACATTTTAGTTTTTTTCACAATTGTTCAGGAGTTGAAAAATAATTGATGAAATTAAAAATAATAATAAGTAAAAACTGAAAATTAAATATTAGTTTAGTGCAATAAAAGAAGGCATTAAGTGAATAAATAGGCTCAATGAGACACACAAAAATGTTTTTCCATACAACACAATGAACCATAAATTACAATTTGTAATTAGAGTTTGTTTGTGCATGAGGAAACTGTTTTTTTCTTTCTCTCACTAAAGTTATACATAAATATGTCACTACATAGATAAGTTTTCAAAACACATATATGCTTCAACTAAGAAAATATATAAATTTTTATAGATTACAAATAGTAATGCATTAATTTGACCATTATAAACTCTTTGAAGAGTTTGTTGATATTTCAACCAACCTGGTATGTTCCAATGGGACATTTTTCATAGCACTTATTATTGTACACAACATTTCTACAGCTTCTACACCCACTCGGAGAATCATTGATACTGCAACCTCCAAGACATTCCTTATGGCAGCAGAATCCACTCTTATCACAGGTTTTATTAGCACTTTGACATTTTGAATGGCAAACTACAGAGAGAAACAGAAAAAATATCTCATGGAGAATCTGTGGCTACAAACTTAACAAACACAAGTCTTATGTTGGCAAATACACTCTGATAAACCAAACTTTCTCTATCTGTCATAAGAAATATGTCAATTACATCCACATATTTTTTAAATTTGAGTAAGAATTAGAGAAGAATGAAACTTGTATTTCTCTTCATACATTATTTAAAATGGACTATTCCTCAGAAGTGATTAGATTCTTCAAACTAGTCACTTCTGAGAAGCATCATTTTGTGAATTTGATTAAAAGTATTATTTTCATTCATAGACCATTCTAGCTGGCAAATGGGCACAATTCTTTGCCTTCAGAGCTGAAACTTCACCACATAAATTTACAATAATGTTTGGGCCCTACATGGATTTAGTTTTCAACAGAGTCATCTGGGATGTTGACAATTTTATTTATATCAAGTCAAAGCTTGTTTGAAAGTATCTGGTTATAATATCTCTGCTCCAAACACTGGGCAATTTAAACATTACCTATAGCAGTAATTACATGGATTATTGCTTCTGATTGTTACTTTTTTATTTGTTTGTTTTGAATTACGCGCAAAGCTACACGAGGGCTATCTGCCCTTGTCATCCATAATTTAGCTGTGAAAGACTAGAGGGAAGGCAGCTAGTCATCACCCCCCACTGCCAACTCTTGGGCTACTCTTTTACCAACAAATAG